TATAGAATATAGAATATAGAATATAGAATATAGAATATAGAATATAGAATATAGAATATAGAATATAGAATATAGAATATAGAATATAGAATATATATAAAATCATCAAGCATCCTTAGTATAATGTTTCTGTAGAATATCTATCTATCTATCTATCTATCTATCTATCTATCTATCTACTAAGGATGCTTGATTGATAAGAACATACTCTCTTCCTTCAGATAAAGTTCAGTGTTTCAGACTGAGTGGATAACAACAAAGGTGTATTGAGTGATAAATTGATTTATGTACCACAGACAAGCCCCACTATAAATTTAAATTCTACAATACTAAAATTATATTTTGTTTATTGTGACACTCCCTGTATTTTCTACTTCCTTTTAAGATTTTGGTCTTGCTATTTTTTTTATTTAGTTTTTTTTTTTTTATTTAAGTGAACATTTACCAAGTAAATCAATTTTTATTCAATGATTTATAGACTTTTTAAAAATAACATTAATTTCCATATCCACAGTGTAACTGCACTTTTCTTAGTTCCTCTCCATTATTCTGACTTCCATTAATTCTTCTGTGCCACTGTCTTCTACTGTTTAGAAGCCTCACATACTTTGGGCGTGTTGCTGGGAGGGACTATTCCTGGGAGAGGGGCATGATGCTGGGAAGGGAAGACGGTTGGCGAAGGAGAGGAAGAGCCTCAACAGGTGGATTGACACGGTCACTGCTGCAATAGACTCTTCTGTGTAAGGATGTTTCAGGATAGAGCAGGATTCGGATCTTTCATTCACAGAGTCACCTATGAGTCGTGCTCAATGCAACAGCACCTAACAACAACAACAACCACTTTATTTTCTTTAGTGATACTGTGCTGATTATCCTCTAATTGATGTTGTCTTCCCCATCAGTCATCTTAATATTTATCTATATATGGCATTCTGGTGGCTTAGTCTATAGCACATTTTGCTTGTAACCCAAAGCCCATGCATCTCTGATTCAGAGCTACCAGTAACTACACAGGGAAAGATAGACAAACTCTTTCTATGAGATTTAAAGCCTCAGAAAACCTGATGCAAATCCAGCTATGAGTCAAGTCTATCTGAAGAATAATGAGTTTTTCTAGTTTATTGTCTACTTACTAGTTGTTATTTTCGACTTCTTCCCTTCTCACTCCTAAAAATTGTCCAAGAAATTTTCTATTTGTGTGTAAAGCTTTTCTTAGATTTTATGAGATTGGTCTTATAAATTGTCAACAAAATAAGGAGAAAAGAAAATAAAATTGATTATGCTGCATGAGGGAAAGTAATTTTGTGACTGATTTACTTTGTGACTTTCATGAAGATCTCCAGGTATCATCATTTTCAGTCCTACCTTTGAGGTTATGGGGTCCCCTGGGTTGCATACACTAGCATAAGTTTGATAACAAACCAAAAGTTGTTTGAGCCCACCCATGAGCTCCCAGGAGGTAAAGGGTGGTAATTTACTTCCAAAAGATTTAACTATTAAAAATCCTTTAAACACATTTTATTGTGACTTTTTTTAAGATTGCTATGTGTTGAGTTGTCAATCATATCCAGAAAACTGTTACAGTGAAAAAACTCTAACTAATTTGATGGCACTTAGTGATTTTTGTTTGTTTGTTTTCGTTATATGCTGTATAAATGTAGGGATTGGGAGGATTTAGCACCCCCTCTGTCAATCATTTTATACTCTTTTACGTGTCTCAGCTTTCTACGTTGAACCCAATGTTTGACCTACTCCATTTAATTATCGTTGCCATCTATAGCTTTATCATCTTCACAAAATAATTTCCAACAATCATAACACAAGTGAGTTAATTATGTCAGCCAAATATTATTTAAATGTACCCTATCATTTTTGGGTTATGATCTTAAATTTTTTATACATGTAATTATTATACATACACACATTTCATTTAAGAATTTCTTTCTTTACTATAACTTAATAGTGAAGAACAAAAAATAAGGATTGGAGAAAGTAAAGCAAAATCTGATTATTCTGTGTGATGAAAAGAAACTCTTGGGGATAATTCAATAAATAAAAGATCAGTGATTCTCTGATTCTACTCCCAGTAAACATCAAAGATTCCTGAATCTGTGAAGGTCCTATATAAGAGAAAAAGAAATTAGAGAAATACCTCCACGAGAAGGACTGTTCTAATATTGATTTCCTATTTGTAGCTGAGGGTGTCTGGACTACCAAGAGAACAAACAGATTTGTCCTCAAGAAAGTGAAATCAGGATGCTCTATGGAGGCTAGGATGGTGAAACTCTGTCTCACACATACGGCATATTTCTAGAAGAGGCCAGTATTGGAAAATGACATCGTGCTTGGAAAGATGGAGGGTAAGCGAAATAGAGAGAGGCCCTCAATAAAATGAATTGACATAGTGACCGCAGCACTGGGCTGTTTGGCTATGGTGAGAATGGCGCATGATAGGGCAGGTTTCAGAACCCTTGTTCACAGAGATCCTGTATGCTGCAGTTGACTGGATGGCATAAAACAACAAGAAGTTATAATTTTTCCCAGGGAGTGGTTTATTTGTACCCTTAAACCCAAGTTAAGTGGATGGAATTCATCATGTGCCTGCTTCTGCTGGTCTAAGGGGTGCCTCCCCTCTGTGCGAGACCACAAGAAGAGATAGTGCCTGCAGCCTGGGAAGGGAGCACTGCTATCAGCGAAGCCAGGCTCCACCAGGCGACATGGCCACAGGCCCGCCTGGAGAGAGGCTGCGGGAGGAGGCCAGGTGCCCGGTGTGCCTGGACTTCCTGCAGGACCCCGTCAGCATCAACTGTGGCCACAGTTTCTGCTTAAGATGCATCTCTGAGTTCTGCAAAAAGTCTGATAGCGCCCAGGGCGGCGTCTATGCCTGTCCCCAGTGCAGAGGCGCCTTTGACCCAGAAGGCTTCCGTCCCAACCGGCAGCTGGCCAGCCTGGTGGAGAGTGTGCGGCAGCTGGGGCTCGGCGCGGGGTCCACCAGCGTGCGCCTCTGCCTGCGCCATGGAGAGGAGCTGAGCCGATTCTGCGAGGATGACCAGGTGGCCCTGTGCTGGATCTGTGACACCACCCCTGAGCACAGGAACCACCTCACGGTGCCCCTGCAGCAAGCTGCTGGATCCTACCAGGTGAGAGCCCTCGGGTCCTGAGACTCAAAGCCTTGGAGAGACTGATTAGTGATACACATATGCCTCTTTGACAGGTGAACCCACAGAAAGAAAGGCACTTCCTGAGCGCCCATGAGTCCAAATTATAAAGTCCAGGACTGCTTGGCTTTCTCCTCTTGATAACTCACATTCAGATCAGGGTACCTTACCTTTATCCTAAGTGATCTTTCCACTTGTTCCTGTAGAGGAGCTCAAAACTTACTCATTCTTTTTGAAGCTATCCCCACCCTCTGATTCTACTTCATCATTTTAATTTCCTGATAGTTCACATTTCTTGCATTTAATAGGCTAGTTACTACACGGTGGTTAATGAAGCAGAGTCAACTTCAGAGAGATGAGTTTGTTTTGTCGTTTTTTTCTTTCTCAATTGTTGTTGTAATGTGCCATCAAGTCTCCTGAATACTGATAAACTCTGTTGTGTGCCCTAGAGATCTAATTTACACTTCACAATCTCACCCTAACCAAAAATGTTTTCCATCAAATTTTTTCTAATCACGTTGCCACCAACTTATGTTTTCATCTTGTTTTTAATTACACTTTAATAGTTTCTATTTATAGTTTTAAGTGTCATCTTGTTTTTATTTTTTTGAGGGCTTTTGTTATTGTTTATTTAAATTGATGTCACAGTGGTAACTATTTTGTGCTCTTAGATTTTTTTAAAACACTCTATTTCCATTTAAATCCTATAATGCAAAACAGTTTTCATCACTTCCACTCATTTATCATTTTGGTTAATTGTGTTTTAACCATTTCAAATAAACTTGAAACAAACATACTTTTGTTTAAGTCTTTGGATGGATCATTATATTTTTATGTACATTTATGCCATTTAATAATGTCAGGCATTTTGTATGTCTTCTCATTTTACATGACCGTTTTGTTACCTGCAACATCTAATTGATAATAGATAACTAAGTACAGATATCTGCAAAGATGCAAGCATATCTTCCCATACAGGTAATACTTCAAACATCCCTAGGGCTTGTGAGGAAAGAGTTGGAGGAAGCCTTGACTCAGGAGGCCAATGTGGGGAAGAAGACCATCGTCTGGAAGGTAAGGCGATACTGGGCCTCAAGGAGGCTCACTAGCCTGAAGGATATTATTCCCCCTTTGTCTTTTTTTCCATCTATATGTGTACTTTCTGAAGAAAAACATTTCTGTGCCATGCAGGTTCATTCCATTTTCCTTACATTTCATTGTACATTTGTTCTTTCTAACTTCATGCAAAAACCACAATACAGATTATCAACAATCGACTTTACTGATTTTTATTTGGTTGTAAAACTCACTGTTGTAACTTTACTTCCTAAAGTCTTGTGACTGTGACTGTTAATTTAAAAAGCATTTCTTGTATGCATGAGATAGTGAATATTTGAGGAGGACCTCATAAACTTACTGCAGAGGGTCAAGGACTGCAGCCTTCAATATGGACTGAGGCTCAATGTCAAGAAGACAAAAATTCTCACCACTGGACCAATCGGTAGCATCAGGATGGATGGCGAGATTGAGATTGTTCACAGCTTCAGTTTGCTCAGCTCCACGGTCAACACTCTTGGCACTAGCAGCCAGGAAATCAAAAGATGTATTGCGATGGGAAAGTCTGCTGTTAGGGACCTCTCTAAAGTACTCAAGAGCAGTGGTGTTTCTCTGGAGACTAAGGTACACCTGATACAGGCCATGGTCTTTGCAATCGCTTGTTATGCATCAGAGAGTTGGACAATGACTAGGGAGGATAGAAGGAGAATTGATGCCTTTGAGCTGTGGTGCTGGAGAAAATACTGAATGTGCCATGGACTGCCAAGAAAACAAACAGATTCATCCTAGAGAGGGTTAAATCAGGCTGCTCCTTGGAGGCAAGGATTCTGGGGCTTCGTCTGACGTACTTTGGACATGTTGTAAGGAGAGACAGGTCTTTAGAGAGGGACATCATGCTGGGTAGAGTAGAGGGACAGCGCAGGAGGGGAAGACCCTCTATGAGGTGGATTGATTCAGTGACTGGGGTAATCGGGATGGGTGTGTCAGAGGTGATGAGATTGACACAGGATAGAGCACGGTTTAGTGCTGTTGTACATAGGGTCACTATGAGTCGCAAATGACTCGACGGCACATAACAACAACAACAACATAACAAAAAATGTATAGCTAATAATGCCCATTTTAAACCCAGGTGGATAACCTGAACTTTCAGCCTCTTTTCCAGCAATATGCCTTGGAGATGCGCATTTACTATTTTCAATTCATGTTTCTTTTATGTACCTATTTATAACACACACACACACACACACACACACACACACACACACACACTGAACCTTTAAAAAAAATCCCCTTCCAGTGAGTTAGTTTTGTAATAAGGGTGTAGAGTATCAATTTGTTCTATCTTACCCAGGCAAAATGCGTTTATCTTTATAATTACCAACCACTTTTTGAAGTAAAATTTGTTTTCCAATTTCCAGGTCTTTTCTTGGCACCTTTACAAAACTGTCTCTCTAATCTTTCTTCATTTTTCAGATGCTTTCACATATTTTTCATTAGTACCTATTCCAATTATAAGCAGTAACTTTCATGTGTGGAGCCTATGATAATGTGATCAACAGTTACCTGAATAGCTTGCTCTAACTCATTTTTTCTTTCCTTTCCCACATTTAAATATTGTTTGTTGTTGTTGTTGAATATAACACTAAAATTTATTTCTGTGCCTTGCCCCCAAACTTACGATAAGAAACCAAATCCAGCAGTTCATCTCAAACTCTAAGTTTCATTTATTCTGAGAATAGTCCCTGGTTTCTGCATGGTATTAGAATGTTGCTCTTTAATTTGCAGTTGTGAATGACTCCAATGTTTTCCAACTTGCTAAATCCTTTTATGGAGTCAGGAGACTCAGAGACAGTGCCTCCATTTATTGTCCAGTAGCCCAGATTGCTGAAAATTTTACCCATATGTCGTCACTCCAGGAGAAAGTAGAAATGCGTAGACAACGTTTCAGGTTGGAATTTGAGAAGCATCGTGGCTTCCTGGCCCAGGAGGAACAACTACAGCTGAGGAGGTTGGAGGAAGAGGAGCGGGCAACCCTGCAGAAGCTACGAGAGAGCAAGAACAGGCTAGCCCAGCAAAGCAAAGCCCTGAAGGAGCTGGTGGAAGAGCTGGAGGACAGATGCCAGCGCCCTGCCTTGGGCCTCCTCCAGGTGAGGAATAACGGGAAGGTCAGGGCTTATGAGATCTATAGGCCAAAACAGAACAATAGCTTTAAGGGGGACTATTTATCCATTTATTTTCTCCCTTTATTAAAAAGTTATCTTTTTTTTAACTTGGAAAGAATTTTTATCCTAACTTTCTGAATCAGAATCAGAAGAGATCCTAAGAGAATCCCATAGCTCATATATAATAATCTTAAATTTTTAATTAAATTTAACAATTTGTCTAAGATGAAACATAAAAAGCACAATGTCTTTTTTAATGTTTCTTATTAGCAAACTAAGGGTCATATAATGAATACTTATTAAAGCACACACAGCACGGGCGCACAGACATTTTCAGTAATAATACTGGTCATCTTATCTCCTCATATCTCAAATGACAACTTATTAAAAATAAGCATTTATTAGCAATAAAGAAATGCTTAAAGTAATTAGTAATGCAAAACTTTTGAAGAATATTTTCTTAAACTATTTATATTTATGATTATGCTCTGATTTCTCCTTCTTTCCAAGTATTATTACTAAGCGATATTTTGTTCTTAATGGTTAAGCTCAGGTGTATAAATCCTATAAAAGTTAAAGTTAATTATTTCTCTTGCTCTTATATATTGCCAAAATTTATCTGACTGGTATTTATTTTATTCAACAAATTGCAATGATTTCTTGAAAAATCTATTTTGAGATAAAATTAATTTATTTTTGACTCATCTGGATAATTGACTTATGTAAGACTCCCTAGCATAAGATGTATAAATTCAAAAGTTTTAGGACTTTGAATTCTCTTAGAGACACTTTGGGCATAACATTTTGTCTAAATCTTCTACTATACCTTACTCAAATAAATTCTATGAATATTTATAACCCTTCTTACTTCTGTTCCTGTGAATTAAGTCCAGAATATTACTGTATGCATTAGAATATCAAATTTGTCAGTTAAAAGATATTAAATAGGCAAATGCTTAGTGATTTAAGTTTTGTAAAGTCTGAATCTATATTATTAGAGGGAAAAAATCAACTATTCTAAACTCATGACAAAAAGAAAGCCTATTTTTCTTAATGAAAATGTATTTTTTTTTCTCCACCACCAACATAATTTTATATTGCAAACTCATTTTGGAAATTGAAAGCAATTCCAGTTCTGAGACCAGACAGTAAATGTTATGAGAGAAGTCGTTCCTCTTTTTTTCTCAGGAGGGAAGGCTGATAAATGACAAATTCTGGCATTTGGGTTAACAGTCCCTAAGCCACATAGTTTTATCTCAGTTGTAAAAAAAAATTCCAGCATGATATTTATGTTCAGTGATGAAATCTGTATGCAGAATGCAATTAAAAAGAAGCCAGTTTAGCTACTCCTTAAAATGTTAAATACAAAAATCCCATATGACCCAGCAGGTCCATGTCTAGGTATATGCAAAAAAGATTTGAAGGTAGGGACTCAAATAGATACTTCTATGCATTGCAAAGTTATTTACATAACCAATGGATAGAAACAACTCAAGTATCTCTCAACACAAAGATGAATAAATAAAATATAACATAGATATCATTTATATCACATGCAATAAAGATTCTGCTGGAAATGATCTAAAAACAAGTGAACAGCACACCAACAGAGAACTGCCAGAAGTGCAGGTTGGGTTTAGAAAAGGCTGTGGCACTAGGAATATTATAGCTTATGTTAGATGGATCTTGACTGAAAGCAGGGAGTACCAGAGGAATGTCTATCTCTGTGTTTCATTGACTATGCAAAGGCATTTGGCTGTGTGGATCACAACAAACTGTGGCTGATTCTGAGAAGAATGTAAATTACAGACATGTGATCATGCTTATGTGAAACTTATAGTTGGACCAGGTGGCAGTCATCAGAAAAGAGCAAGGAAACACTGCATGGCTGAAAATTGGGAAGGGCATGCATCAAGGATGTGTCCTATCTCCATACCTTTTCAGTCTATATGCAGAATAGATTATCTGGGAGGCTGGACTCTATGAAGAGAAGTGTGGCATCAGGACTGGAGGACGACTCTTTAACAACCTGTATTATGCATGTGATATAACCCTGCTTTCTCAAACTGAGAAGAACCTGAAGCACTTGCTGCAGAAGGTCAAGGATTATAGCCTTATATACAGTTTGAAGCTTAATATCAAGAAAACAAAGATTTTCACCACTGGGCTGATTGGCAGCATCATAATAGATGGTGAAGAGATGTTGACAGCTTCAGTTTGCTTGGTTCTACTATCAACACTCTTGGTACCAGCAGTCAGGAAATCAAAAGACGATTTGCATTGGGAAAGTCAGCTGTCAGAGACCTCTCCAAAGTACTTAAAAGCAACGATGTCAGTCTGGAGACTAAAGTGTGCCTTATCCAGGCCATAATCTGCAATTACTTGTTTTGCATCAGAAACCTCCTTAATGACTAAGAGTGACAGAAGTAAAATTGATGTTTTTGAGCTGTGTTGCTGGAGAAGAGTACTGAATATACCATGGACTGCTAGGAGAACAAACAGGTTCGTCCTAGAGAGGGTGAAACCAGGCTGCTTCTTGTAGGCAAGGATTCTGAAACTGAAGTCTGGCATACTTTGGATATGATGCAAGGAGGGAGCAGTCCTTGAAGAGGGACATCATGCTTGGGAGGGTTGAGTGACAGCACAAGAGAGGAAGACACTCAATGAACTGGGTGGATTCAGTGAGTGGGGTAATAAGGTTAAATGTGTCAGAGATAATAAGATTGGCACATGCTAGAGCAGGATTTAGGAATGTTGTGCATAGGGTTGCTATGAGTCACAGGCAACTCAATGGCACATAACAACTACAACTAAATATATATACACACATATATACACTTATACACATATGTGTGTGAATATATATTTATATAAATAAAAATAAACGCATACATACATACATAATGGAACAATGAAATCTTACTTAACCTTAAGGACAAATAGAGAACTAATATATACTACAACCTGGATAAAGCTTGAAAACATTTTAATGAATGAAATAGTATAACAGGAAAGCATACATATTGTACAATCTCTCCCATATGAAGTATGTAGAATAATCCAATTAACAGATATCAAAGCTTCTTAGTGCTTACTAGGTGCAAGAAGAGGGATGAGGATTCATTTTTTAAGGATTTTTGTTAAGGCTGATGGAAAAATTGAAAACAGTGATTATGGTCACATACCACTAGAATTCACAATCAGAGTTAAAGCCGCTGGAGTGATATGTGCAGACATGGTTTAAATGGCAAACTTTTTTATGTATTGTGATTGTGGTTGTTGTGTACCATCAAGCTGGTATCCATTCATAACTGACTCTCCAGCTGGCTTTCATAAGCAGTTAATTGCACAGGAAGAGATTGTCCATCCTCCCATGGAGCAGCTGGTGGATTCAAACTGAGTGCCTTCGGGATTGCAGCACAGATTCTTGCCACTAGGCCAGTAGGGCGCCGTATATTGAGATTCTTCATATATGAATAATTATTTTTAGGAACCCACTCAAACAAAGTTGAAACTCAAATGTCTGATTTTTGGCTATTTGTGTATCTCTTTCTCTTTCAGGATGTAAGAGCAGTCTTGAACAGGTATGTTTACCTTATAAACTAGTGATGGGGTTGAGAGAGGCTGAGAGGTTAATGTCTGACCTAAGTAATCACTAAACTTTGTCAACTCTGTGCTCTCCTCAGAAGTAAAAGTATCACAAGATTAGAACCAGAAATAATCCCTATGGAACTGAAGACAATGTGTCACATCCCTGGGATGAGAGAAATGCTAAGAAAGTTCCAAGGTATGTTAGGAAACCGTAGTGTCTTAGGTTTGGTTGTTAAAGTAATATGTTACTTTCAAGTTGCCATAAAAAACAGCTCAAATTCCTAGTGATGGTCAGTGATCTAGTGAGTAAAGAGTTTTACTATCAATCCAAAGATAGGAGATTTGTATCCACCAGCCACTCCCATAGGGGAAAGATGAACAAACTCATCTCATTTAATTTTTAGTCTCTGAAAGCCTCTTAGAGAGTCAAAAATGAGTTGATTCTGACTTGATGACATGTAACAACAATAAAATCAGGACAATTTTATTCTGGGATTAAATAATTTGTTTACTACTGGACACATCATCTGATCAAGGCTGGTTTCACTTCCACAGTGTTGCTGGTATCTGTGGACAAGGACAAGGATAAGATGAAACATGCATTGTTTGTTAAAAGCATTATCAAGGGAGTCGTGCACATCTCTTTATTGAATAAATTATTGCTAGAATAAGTCACATGTCGATGCCAAACTGTAAATATGCTCAGATTAATGAATGGAAGGGTATTTTAGAACAGTTCTAAAAACTGTCATTTAGAGTACAGTTAGAACAATGGATTTGAAAGTGTCTTTAATATCTTATTAACTGTAATATTAAAAACAATAGTTCCATAAATCTCCATTCCCTGGTTTATAAAAATAATACTAGAATTGTTTGTAGTACTAGTTGATTATTGCTAGAACCAGAATATTAGACCTGGAGATGATGAGAAAATGATTATATTTTGAAGACAGAGTTTATAGTATTTGCTGCTTTTAGATATGAGGTATAAGGTAAGAAGAAAAGAAATTAATTACTCCACAGCTTTGAATCTCAAGCTTTGGTATAATAAAATGTCTGTTAATGTAAATAGACAAACTCCTGGGTAAAATAAGATAGAAGGTGCTTGGTTTTGGAAGACCTACTATTGTGATGGATGTCAAAGATCCACATGTTGATGGCAAAAGTAACGGTGAACTTATCTGTGTAGAGTTTCAAGAGAAATAATTATGTATTTGGTGTCCAATATGCATGACATTAATTAAAGCTATATATTAGCTCAAAAACACAGAAGAAGTGAGGTGAACAATACAGAAAAGGTCACTAGATTCTCCAATGTTAGTGATAGAAGAGAAGAGAAACAAAGTAGAAACAAAGCAGATGTAAAATGGGAAGTAAACCATGATGGCTCGTCACTATGAAAATAGAAGGAAAATTTTGTTGAACATACCGTGGACCGCCAAGGGAACAAACAGGTATGTCTGAGAGAGAGAGAGAAAACAAGTTTCTCCTTGGTGGCGAGGATTTCAAAGCTACATCTCAAATACTTTGAGCATGTGGCCCAGGAGGGACCAGTCCTTAGAGAAGGACATCATGCTTGGAAGGGTGGAGGGACAGCACAGGAGAGGCAGACCATGCATGAGATGGACTGATAACTGTAACTGAGGACATGGGAGCAGGTGCGTGAAGTCAGCGAGACTGGCTCAGGGTAGGGCAGGCTTCAGAGCTGTTGTACATAGAATTGCTATGAGTTGCAGGTGACTTGTCAGCACATAACAACAGCAACAACAACAACAGCAAGAGAGTTTTCAACAGTGTGAATTGCTACAGAGAACTCATTTACAATGAACTCTGAAAACTGCTCGAACATCAATGTGGAAACAGGGAGAACTCCTGTTCTAGTGGTCTAGTGATAATAAGCTGTGCTGCCAACCCAATGGTACACGATTGAATTCACCAGGTGCTTTGAGGATGAAAAAGAACATTCTCCTTCTGTGCAATTTACTGCCTCTGATAACTACCTGGAAGGCCAGTTAGGAGTCAATTCCAATCATACATATGGCAATTCCAAGCATACTATTGTTATAACAGTAACAACAGTAACATAAACAGGAAAAGTTTTGGTTGGGGACATGGAATTATCATGAATCACTGAGTTTTAGAAAGAAGGGAGATTAATGAACATTGGTGGTGTAGCACATTACATGTTAAGCTGCTAATTGTATAATTCACCAGCCACTCCATAGAAGAAAGATGAGCAATCTCCTCTCATAGATTTTCAGCCACAGAGACTTACTGAATTGTTTCTATAGAGTTAAAATCAGCTGGGAAGAAGTTTTTATTTTTACTTTGTTTTAGAATCATCTCCTAGGGGTTATGAAGTTTCATTTTCTCTTACAATTTCAAAGCCATCAGCCACTGAAAGAGTCCATATCTCTCTGGTTTCTCCCTGCCAACAAACTAGAGAACCTTTTCTTATTTTAAAGAACTCCTGATGGGCAATCTCTTACAGGGTGATTAACTGCTTCTGAAAAGCCACTGGAGGGTCAACTATTGGTTAGTTCTGACTTCACTGTACATGACAACAATAGCACTATTATATTAAGTCCTCACACATGATCTCCACTTTCTCATTTGAAGTACCATATATATTAGATGTACTGTATGCATGCAAAACCAGAGTTGTAAAAGTTAAAGAGATAAGTGCAACAATGAATGAATGGAAATCCAAAATCTCTGTAATGTTCATTAAAATTAATTTTAAAAAGTCAACGAGATAATTTAAAATTTTGTCTATCACAAGTTATTTCTTTTATTTATGGATTTTATATCAATTATGCTATACTGTATGTGTGAGATAAAATAAAGATCACCTAAGGAATTTAGCTGTTATTTTACTGCAAAATTTTATCCATGTTCATAGTGAACCCAATGCTTTTTAGTTGTAAGGTGCCATGGAGTCAAGTAAGACTCATAGCAACCCTAGAAACAACAGATCTGAACCCTATCCTATTTTCTGTATCCTCCTCGTTTCTGACAGCCACACTTGAGTGCATTGCCACAGTCACTGTGTTAATCATCTTGTTGAAGGTCATCTTATCTTTCATCAACTCTTCAGCATTCCAAGCATTATAGCCCCTTTCAAGGAATTGCATCTCCTAACAATGTGCCCAAAATAAGTGAGACAATGCCTTGTCATCTTGCCCATCCACTTGGTTTTTTTCTTCATTACTGGAATCATGACGTTCTTACAGGCACCATAATGAGTGTTGGACAATAGAAAACAGATCACAGTGAGATACACCAAAGCATAATGAAGAATGATCATTTCATTCTGCTTAGCATTTAATAGAGGAAAAAGTTATGAGAAACCAGGTGACAGCTGTTTTCATATACAGCTTCCTAAGGTTCTAATCTTCTTTTTCTATTTTCCACAAATTTCTTTCCACAGTTAACATAAAGCTGGATCCTGCCACGGCTCATCCTAGCCTACTCTTGACTGCAGACCTGTGCAGTGTGCAGGATGGAGAACTGTGGAAAGACGTCCCCAACAACCCAGAGCGCTTTGACACATGGCCCTGCGTCTTGGGTTTGCAGAATTTTTCATCAGGGAGGCATTACTGGGAGGTTGTGGTAGGAGAAAGAGCAGAGTGGGGCTTAGGTGTCTGTCAAGACACAGTGGCAAGAAAAGGGGAAACAACTCCATCTCCTGAGAATGGGGTCTGGGCCATGTGGTTGTTGAAAGGGAACGAGTACATGGTCCTTGCTTCCCCATCTGTTCCTGTCCTCCAAATGGAGCGGCCTCGCTGTGTTGGAATTTTCTTGGACTATGAAGCTGGTGAAATTTCCTTTTACAATGTCTCAAATTGGTCTTACATCTACACATTCAACCAAATCTTCTCTGGTGTTCTACGACCATATTTTTTTGTCTGTGATATGAATCCTCTTATCTTGCCGCCTATTACAGAAATGGAGTCAGAGACTTGGGCATCCAGGGATCATCTCAACTCTGCTGCTAATTTTAGAGAAGATCATTCCTGAAACTATTTTCCAAAGATACACTTCATTTCAGCAAGAACATTGTGTTTGAGCAGAAGATACACTAAGCCTCAACAGATGTCTCCATTTAAGTTAACATTTTACTTATGATTGCTATGGAAATTTCTCCATATAGATAAAAGGGCAATATTAAAAATTTGCATTTGTAGATACATGTGTATTATGAGACATAATAATTTTAGAAACGGAGAAATTACATCAAATTTTATTTTCCGATGGCTCCAGAGTATCTCAGTGAGTTTTTCTTCAAATTAATGGATTGTATTAAACAAAGATTTCTATGTATTTATTTACTTCCTTATTTCTTTCAATACACTTCTACTCTGTCTTTCATGTGGAAGTCCTTAAATCAGCTTGGATTAATGTTAAATGTATATTTGTTCCAATTTTTCACTCTACTGTTCTAACTTCATGCCCATCATTTTGAATTTTTTCCTCCTTCACTTTTTATTTACTTATCCTTTCTCTCGTATTCCTCACTTTTTTCTCCTGATTTTTTTTCTTATTTAATCTTGACTTTATTATAGAGTAAAATATTCAGTTTTGGTTCTACATAGAAGAAACTCTGGGAGTGTAGTTCATAAAGAGTTATGCTACCAACTCAGAGGAGGCTCCTTTCTAGCACAGCGAATCTACCAGTAGCTTTGTAGGAGAAAGACGGGTAGTCTCTCCCAAGCAACTCAGAGACTCCAAAAACCTGCTGGGGGTCAACGATGAGCAGGTTAAAATGCCAGTAATAACTTTGACTTTGACTCCCACATAAAGTTTCAAATTACTTTAGAAATCCTCTTTATTCTGGGACCAGGATTTTTGAGATTTATGAAACTCTCTCCACTGAATCTACTATTCCTGAGTATCAGAATATACTTATCTGGGATTTCAAGTCTTTTTATTAAATTGAGATATAGTTATATCATTAGGATTTCTCAGAATTTTGATTGACTGTATCTGTGGATTTTTTTACCAAACAATCTATTTTCTAATTGTTGTTATTGTTATTGATTGCCTTTGAGTCAAACACAACTCACAAGGGCCCTATGAACAAAAAGACTGTAGTTCCTCTACAATTATCAATTTTATCAAAGTTCATAGAGTTTCCAGAGGCATGTTGTTTAGGAAGTGGATGCTACTCATGCTTCCAAATTTTCTAATTAGGAGACCTCAAAACACCACCAAAATTATTTCTCTCCTTTTCTGTCATTTTAAAAGATTTCTATATGTGGAAAAAGGTGGTTGTTATTGTTGTTATGTGCTGTGGAGTCACCTGTGACTCATAATGACCCTATGTACAATAGTCTTAAACTTTGTTTTAGCCTGTGTTACTCTCACTATCTCTGACACACACCCCCCTATTACCACAGTTACTGAATCAATTCACCTCATAGAAGTTCTTCCTCTCATGCATTGTCACTTTACCCTCCCAAGCATGATGTCCTTCTTCAACATGTCCAAAGTATGTCAGATGAAGCTTCAGAATCTTTGCCTTCAATGAGCAGCTTGGTTTAATCCTCTCTGGGATGAAACTGTATGTTTTCTTAGCAGTCCGTGGTATAGTCAATACTCTTCTCAAACACCAGACCTCAAAGTCATCAATTCTCTTTCTATTGTCCATAGTCATTGTCTAGCTCTCTGATACATAGCAAGAGATTTCAAAGACCATGATCTGTATCAGTGCACCTTAGACTCCAGGGTGACATGATTGCTCTTCAGTACTTTGGAGAGGTCTCTAACAGCAGACTTTCTCATTACATACTTCTTTTAATTCCCTGGCTGCTGGTGCCAAAAGTGTTGATTGTGGAGCCAAGCAAAATAAAGCTGGTAACAATCTCAATCTTTTAGCTATCTATCATGATGCTGTCAATTGGCCCAGTGGCAAAAATATTTTTTTTCTTGATATTGATGCCCAATCTATATTGAAGTCTGCTGTCCTTGCCTTTCTGCAGCAAGGCCTTCAAGTCCTACTCAAAAAGCAGGGTTGTATCATCTGCATAATGCAAATTGTTGATGAATCTTCCTCCAATCCTGATGTCGTATTTCTCCTCATATAGCCCAGCCTCCAGGATAATCTGTTCTGCATATAGACTGAACAGGTATGGAGATAGGACACATACCTGGTGTACACCCATCCCAATTTTGAACCATGCAGTGTTTCTTTTCTCTGTTCTGATGACTTCCTGGTCCAAGTATAGGTTTCACATTAGCACAGTCAAGTGTTCTGGGATTCCCATTCTTCTCAGAGATAGCCACACTTTGTTGTGATCCACATAGTCAAACACCTTTTTAGTCAAACAACTCTTCTCTGGTACTCCGTGCTTTCAGCCAACATCCATATAACATTAGATACAATATCCCTAGTACCACGACCCCTTCTTCCAATATCCTTGTCATCATCTTTATATGTATTTAAAGAACAAAATTAAATTTAAATAATACCACTCATGACCTGAGAAAATTGTCAGAGAAAACTGGTACCATTTTTTTTCCCAATCCAAAAATAACTGGAGAAATCGTACCAGTTTTATATGGTAAGTTTTTCAAGTCACGAGTGATATTATTTAAATTTAATTTTGTTCTTTAAATACATATAAAGGTGATGACAAAGATATTTGAATTAATATTCAAGTATATTCTGTAACTTCTCAAAGGTTCTTAAACTTGTTCAAAGTGGTTTTTTTTTCATATGTCTTTTGTGTTCAAAATAATTAAATACTTCAATTACCTTAAATATTAAATAAATTTTTAACAGTTAAAAAATCATGGAACATTATTTTTATATTCTAATGTTTCTCACATGTTCAATTTTTCCTCTTTCATCTACATTGAGATTCAAAGGTGGGTGTTTGGGTTTTTTTTTTCATTTCCAAGGAGATTTTTTTTCTACTAGTTTATTTACAAAATTCAAATACAAATTTGAATATTTTTTTTTCAATTTCCCTCACCGCCCCCATCAAATTGTACAACTCAATGATTTCCAAGGATATTTTTTTACATCTTTTATTTTCCTTTCAACAGTATAATTTAGTAACTTCTTATCTACACTTTCTAACTGATCATTACTTGGAAACAATCTCTGCTAAACAATATACTTTTATGTTTTATAGCTCAAGCATGCTCTATGCTTCTGCTTATGATCTGAATAGGAAAGAGCTTCTTTTTCCCCCCACCACAGATCTTAAAGTATTTTTTATTGACAATTAATATGATTCCATTTTTTTTAATTTGTCATTAAAGTTATGGTAGGACATATGATTTTCCAATTCTAAGCAGCCAATATTAGTCCATTTCAGTTCTCTTGTTCCTAGGACATTGATTTTTATGTATCCTTTTCTTTTTTACAACTTACAACTTTCTGAAATGACTTGCCTCTGGAAACTCTATGAACATGGAGAAAAGACTAAAGTTATACACGTGTTTAGGTCTTTCATTCATAGGGTCACTATGAGTCGTCTATGACTCAATGGCACTTAACAAGAATAACAACAACAACGTAGTGAGAGATCTGTTGGCCTAGTTGATAGAAAGCCGAAGGTGGATGATTTTAATCTGTGGCTGTCAAGCCTGGGTTAAATTGTTCTTTGTCAATCATTCTTCTAAGTGGTATAGCACTTTTCTGTGCCTTCCTGTACTTGTGGTTGCTGTGATGCTAAACACTGTGACACTGATGTGTCAAATGTGATAATGGTTACCCATGGTGGAAAGTGTTTGGTGGAGCTTCCCAATTACCACGTCTGAATTGGCTTGCCTCCAGAAAATCTATGAACATGGTGAAACGACCAAAATTATACAAGTGTTCAGGTCTTTCATTCATAGGGTGGCTATGAGTCTTCTACGATACGATGGCCCTTAACACCAAGAACAACAACTTTTCTAGGTCCATATTTTGCACCTCCCATGTTCTGATTATTTCTTCTTATTTTGAATTGTGCCACTTAAGTAAATAAAGATCTTTCATTGGCTGAAAGATTTACAGTATCTAAGTCATTAAGATAGACTCCACTTTGAGGAGATAACTTCCCATTCCTATTTTTAATGACTTCCAAATGAAGAACTCATCTCCTGGTATTATACCTGATAATATTCCCCTGCTACTCACAAGGTTTTTCACTGGGCAGTTATTTTACAAATGGGTGGCTAGTTCTCCTTCATAGTTTGTCTTAGTCTATAAGCTCATCTGCAACCTGTCCACTGATATTTTAAATACAGTGACATAGCTTCCAGGATTACAGCAACATGTGAGCCACTATGGTTCAATACATTGACAGGTAAGCATTGCCTTTTGAATTTACAGAAATGTGTTTTTTAAATTTTTTTATTTTATTTTCATATTAAGAAGAGAAGTCCCCCTAGAAGCTAATTATGATTCTAAAATGTTTTGTGACAAAAATTTTCTTTTTTTTCCATATTTTACCTCTTTTCCCTCCCTTCCCCCTCCCCAGTTCACTTTTTGTTTTTAATATTCAGTCACTGTTGCACAATTACCCATCTTCCCTCTCCCCAGTCCCCCTAGTCCTTTGCAATGATGTGCTTCTTATTCTGGGCTGTGGTTGTATGTAGAATGCCTTATTATATATTCCTTTTAAACAGTTTGGTGTGCTTTTTTTTCCCTTTGTCTCTTCCAATGCTGTTATAAAGCAGTTCTGACATGGGGGGTTGGGAGGAGAACATGATAAAAATGGATAGATAGTGACCATTACATAGGAAAGAGTTCTTGTTTTGGATATCAACTCACTCTTCCCTCCAATCGAGGGTAACATAGGGGGCTGACAACATTAAAGAAAGGAATGGCTTTCCTGGAAAGTGGCTGCCCCATTCTGAAGTGTAAAGACAGAGGGCATTCTCACAGAAATACAGCATTTCCTTGAGAGATTAGAAGAAAAACATTCCTGGTCTAAGAAGGGCACAACAACTTTGGTGACTTATCCCATTCATCAGAACAAGGCATCCTGTTGGATGGTGCTGAGACTACCCACACATGTTTGTTC